CAAGGATGACTAGGGTCCGCGTTCGGTTGTCTTTCATTCTTAGCTTCAAACTTTTTCTAAAATTCAATATTCTCAAAATATATTTACTCAACTGTTTTTCTAAATTGTGATTGGTCAGATGAATGAAGCCGCCACTTAACTCCAGTTACATATAAACAGTGTTAATATCTCTCTTTTCATTCTCCCACTTTCTCAGCAGCTGACCTCAGCCCGCTCCTTGGGCTGGTGGGACGAATACAATTTGCAGATGGCGGAGCCAAAAGAAAAAGGATTTTCAATAATTAATCTATCTTTATCAGCTTGTCCCATGCTGTGACTTCTCTATCAACCAAACCACTCAAGAATTGGGAAAGAAAAAAGAGAGAAAATCATTCCTAATCCATCCAATGATAAAAACAACATTTTATCTTGCCTTTATTTAAGCGTTTTGTGATAAATAGACTACACAGCATTTTTTTGTCCATGGTCACTCCAAAATAGTAATTAATTTTTCTTTATCATTTGTATCCAGAAAAATTCGACTTCATGTTTGGATATAATGTTTTTTTTTTTTTTTTTTTGGGTGGGGGACGAATTATTATGAACGAATACGTAATACTGTTCCCTATCTCTGTGGGGTCACTTTTCTTCTGCAGCTTGTATTAATTGTAACTTAGATTTCTAAGTTCTGGTCTTCAGGGTCGGCGCAAATTCTTGGCCTGTTGCGAACGATGCGATTTCTCGTAGCAGGTATGGAGACTTTCTAAGCTGTCCAAAGCTCCAGCTTATATGGAGTCCCGCTTCCGACAAGGTCAGCTGCTGAGAAAGTGGGAGATCCAAACCAAATATTTTTTCCGTGGACTAAAAAGTTCAGAGCCATCTTAAAATGTTATTTCGATGACCACCAGCATCTTTATATCGACAGTATATACTTTTTTTTCTTTTTAACATCTCCAATTGACATCTTTAATGGTCTCTTTCTCATCGGCGGGAAATGGACTGGTTTGGCTTGATTTGTTGTGTTTTACGGCTTATCAACCTCAATGGGTTATTTAATGCCGACAACTTTTTTTCCTGGTAATAATTTTTTGTCAAAAATCTATTTCTGGTAATTAATATTTTTTCTTCAAAAACGTATTGCTGGTAATAGTTGTATTTTTTTTTAAATTTTGTTTCTGGTAATAATTTTTTACAAAGTATTTCTGGTATTAAACCTATTTTTACACTTTATAATGCTTTTACAATGCTTTTTTTTTTTTTTTCGGTTAACTATTTGCCCATATCTGGGACCCTAACAAGTGCTACCAGCCCGGGTCAGGTTTGACCTGGGAACACAAGCAATTAAGAGGTGGTCCCACGCTTCTCAAAACATCCTGATTAGAAGCCTTCCTGTTACGTGCAGAAGGACGGGTAGTCTTGGTTTTATTCAATATTACTGAATTCTGTCCAGTTAGAATTTCGGTTCGATTCTCTAGGAATTATTTTAAAACGATTTTGGAACGCATTTCGTTTTTAATTTTCTACTAAACTTTTTAATCTATCTTCCTACGTGTATCAAGATTTATCATCAAATGAGCAAACTTTTTCCTCTTCATTCTTTCATTATTTCCCCTATTTGCAGATCAACCTCCGAAAATTCCAACGTAAAATATCGAGAGACATCAATGAAAAGTGTCGAGGATTGGTCAATCGGAAGTAAAGGGCCTTTAATGAAGACAAAACTAGACAATATATATATTTTGCAAACGCAGTGTACGCACTGGAGCTTATGACATCGGAGGTCTACTTATATTCATCATATTCGTTAATTCACTTAATGACAAGAATTTCAATTCTCTTGAAGTTTGTAACAACTTAAAGCAAAGCCCCCTTCAGAAATTTACCAAGATCGTGAAAGACAGAATCGTGAAGCTACCTAAAAACTGCCGAAGACTAGGGGAACCATATGACACATACGAAATTGAAGAAATCTATGCTGAAATGTCTAAATCTAGTCACCGAATTGAATTTTGTTCAAACCCCATAAAACGATAGATAGAGAGATATGAAGAGACTGAGATAGATAGAGAGATAGATATAAACATATAAACAGATATATTTGATATATATATATTTGATATATATATATATATATATATATATGTATATATATATATATATATATATATATATATACACATATATGTATGCATGTATATATACATATATATGTATGTGTATATATACATATATATGTATGCATGTATATATACATATATATGTATGTATATATATATATATATATGTATGTATATATACATATATATGTATGTATATATATATATATATGTATATATATGTATGTATATATATATACATATATGTATATATATATATATGTATATATATATATATGTATATATATATATATATATATATATATATATATATATATATATATATATATATATATATATATGTATACAGAGAGATATACATTGATATAAACAGTTTGAGAGGTATATTTGACAGATATGTACGGCAGATATATATATATATATATATATATATATATATATATATATATATATATATATATATAGATAGATAGATCTCCCTGTTCTTATGAACAAGAGTAGACATTTTCCTTGTTTCTCTTTGCGTGTTTCCATTTAAATCAAACAGTGTAATGAAAATCTGTACAGGTAAATATTATTAATAATAGATAGATAGATATATAGATGCTGAGAGAAATAGCTATATTAATAGATATGATCGTGCTGACATATATATATATATATATATATATATATATATATATATATATATATATATATATAATCTTGAAAGATAGATAGATAGATCTTTAGGATTGAGTTTCCGTTTACATCTGAAAATCTAACTGACCAGATAGATTGATAGATGTAGATTGTTTCCTTAGTTTTAACTGGCTTTAGGATTGATAGATTTCCGGCTGCGATAGATAGATAGATAAATGTAACTGGCTGCGATAGATAGATAGATAGATAGATATTAACTGGCTGCGATAGATAGATAGATAGATAGATAGATAGATAGATAGATATTAACTGGCTGCGATAGATAGATAGATAGATAGATATTAACTGGCTGCGATAGATAGATAGATAGATAGATAGATAGATAGATATCAACTGGCGATAGATAGATGAATATAGATAGATAGATATTAACTGGCTGCGATAGATAGATAGATAGATATTAACTGGCTGCGATAGATAGATAGATAGATAGATAGATATTAACTGGCTGCGATAGATAGATAGATAGATAGATATTAACTGGCTGCGATAGATAGATAGATAGATAGATAACTAACTGGATAGAGCGATAGATAGATGCGATAGATAGATAGATAATGAATAGATAGATGAATAGATAGGATAGATAGATAGATAGATAGAACTGATAGATGAGATTAATGGATAGATAGATAGATAGATAGATGAATAGGAACTATAATAGATAGATAGATAGATAGATAGATAGATAGATAGATAGATAGATAGATAGATGCTAAAAGACAGAATAGAATATGATTTCGTTCTCAGTTTTACTCGATATTTTAAACAGTCTGAACTGTCGAATCATTGGCATGACTTGATGATTCGTCAGGCCGACATGTTGCCTGTCATAAAACTCGGCTAATCCACTTAGATTTTCTTGCGTGGCATTGAAACACACTAGCTACTTTAAAACGCCTCTAACGAGCATAAATGAAAATTTCGACAAAATTTCTCTTGGCTCTTTCAATTCTCTGATGGAGAAAAAATCGTTGAAATTACGTGCTCAATCTGTGCGAAGAAAAGAAAACTAAAAAAATAAAAAAAAAATTAACAGCTACCCTACCCCACTTCACATTGTAACGCAAGTCTCTCATTGGTGGATTGACTCACCAAGCCTGGCAGCATATCCTGCAATTAATCCCCACTCTCAGGCTATCGATGGATTCCAGGGATCCTCTTCACATATATATATATATATATATGCATATATATATATATATATATATATATATATATATATATATATGCATATATATATATATATATATATATATATACATATATATATATATATATACATTTAAACATATATATATAATACAAATAATTTCAATACATACATAATATATATATATAAAAAAAAATATATAAAATGACATATATATACATACATTCATATATATATATATATACATAAAATAGTTCGTCTATTAATACATACATTGTTTATATACATATAAATACAATTCACGTATAAATACATGCATATATATACATACATACATACATAACATACATACATATATATTTAACATACATATATATACATACATACATATATATAAACAATAATGGTTATATATTTATAGTAATATATATATATATGTTTTAACCAATATATATGTATAAACAAAAAATATACATACAACCCTAAGTTCAACATACACATATATATATATAATGAAAACATACATAAATATAATCGTCCCTTTGCAAGAGCAGAAACGGACATACATTCGTCAAGTTATAAATATTCTATATACATACACAAAAACATATGGCCTATATACATATATATTTACATATATATATACCATTCAAAGAGGAAGGAATATTTATATATATTCTCATATACTTATATAGCATATTTTGCTATATATTTATTTTCATTTATATATACCACGCACAAAATACGAACTCTTTTTTATATATATGATTTTCTATTTCGTTACAAAATGTCACGCCCATTTATTCGTTCATCAGTCCCATGAGTGGGCGTATATCATATATATATCACGCAGCTATAACCCTATATACATATATCTCTCTATATATAACTTAAATCTGGATATTATTCATCCATATATATATAAAAAGGATATCTGGTGGGACCCGTACCTTTTCTTTCAAACCACAGCTTTTTTCCTCAATATTTTTTGCATGTTTTTCATTATTTTTATTTTTTTAAATTCCCGTCCTTATATCTTTCGTTTTGTCCCTCCGCTTGTATGATGAGTATGTCCATCGAATTTATTGTCCCGAGCGCTTTCAGCTGAACTATTAGCTATTATCGATGAGGTGGCCATTACTTTAAAAAAGGTTAATCCGAAAATGGTTAATATACTTTTCTTTTGTGTATTTTCTATAGTAGTAATTGCATTCTAGATTGTGTTTTTACTTTGTTTCTGAACACAATCAAGACACCTTGACCCTGTTCGAAAAGACTGACAATATTCTGCGGTTCATTTGTCTTGTTTGCTTACAATCTTCTTCTTTACAATTTTTTTTTTAGTTGTTATCATCCATATATAAAAAAAGATTAAAAATAATGGAAGCATTATTTATAAAAAAAAAAATTAAAACACAACACTCAGTAACAACAACTATAAACACAACTTCTATGTATTGACCGTGTTTAGTAAATAAAACATTGCTATGAATCGAGATTCATACATTAAAAATTCCATGCATCCAGTTAATATCCAACCATTTTTAAAATCGTGAAATATTCCATATTTTACTGAAATATATATACGACTCATAGATTTTTATGGATAATATGGTACTTTAAATACATGAATATACGGGTGGCTATACAACGCAATTTATGCCCTATTTTAGAAAATCACTCTCAAACATCCTGTTTACCAATAAGTACCATGATGTAGACAAAGGAATTCAAAGCACAGCTTATAAGTGGCAGAAAGCCGAAAGTATGGGGCACCCAGTGAGAATTGAACTCACTACTCAATCGTAATTGATCTAGCAAGACAAGCTTTCTAACCATTGCACCACGTCGTGGTACACAAACTGAATGCTTGATATGATCTGGCATGACGTCATGCATAACGGTTACTGAGAATGATCTTTGTCACCAAAAGGAATGCTATTTTATTTATTCATTCTTTGTTATATTTTTGTGATATGAGTATGTAACACTATGTACGTTCGGATATATATATATATATATATTTATTAAATTTCATTTTATGTTTAACTTCTTTTATAGATGACAAGTATTTAAGTAAATGCTATTTTATAATAAACAGTATTAAATTCATTTACCGGCCTGAATTTCTACGAAAATTTTCAGAGAAAATATTCGTTTATTGACAGTAATTCGAACCTGCATCCTATACGGAACCGGTATTTACGCTGACGTCAAATCAAATCGGCCACAAAGAAGCGTTCGGTATTAAGGTCGATTTATTGTCGGAGGAACTTTGTTCTTCCGATATTTCTCGTACATTCAGACTGCTCTGGCGTATCAAATTAAACAAATGAATGTACGAGATTCATGGAAATTGAAGTTTATCTCATAAAATCGTTAAACATTAGATCTGTTACCCATATTGTCATGCTTGACAATTTCAAACGTCCAGCTTCCCAAAGAATAATATGAGGAAGACAAAGGAAGCCTAACTACCACGCAACACCACATCGGTTCTTGATAATGACAGCGAATGTAAAAAGGATTTGAACAAAGCAATAATTCGATATGAACTTTGAACAGCTTATTCACAACTTCTAGTACAATAGTCAACACCTTTATCAAAAAATGGAAGAATATAATTAAAAAAATTAAATAGACAGACATTGTCTGTTCTTTTTTTTTTATCAAACTTGTTTGCATGAAACTGACTAGAGATAAATAATGACACATTTTAACAAGCGTGGATACTCAACCTAGATACGCAGAAGGGAAGGCAAATGTAATAAACAACTCCACCTGAAAAAAATTAATCTGAAGCTCTTATCATAAAAAATAAACTTATTTTTGTAATGCCGTTTGTAGGAGAGACTTTGTAAATCCCATACAATAATAGTAATGTCTTCGAACAATAGACGAACAATACATTATTTATTTGTATAATGATACAAAATGTGACACAAGGCCAAAAAGGGAAATGGACGGCCTTCTGTCTTAACGTTAAACTTAGCTAGCCACAAACACTGTCCCAATCATACAAATAATATTCCTTTCACGAAACAAACGCAATCTTTACTTACAATTCATACATCATCCACTATAATGCCGTAAAAAAATTCCATGACGTTCTAACTAGTCCCTATATGTATGATTCATTGTTTATGTGAGGAGGGGAATAAAACAAAAAATTTAAAAATCTAACCCCAATGAATATTTACAAAAATTTACAAAACTATTTACAAAGAACTAAAACAAAATAATCTAATAACTCCCACAATTGTCTAAATGTGGCAATAACATCATGATAACATTGTGCTTTGTCAAAAGGGACTTTAATAAACATTCATTCATACCAAACACTCACTCGTACAATACGATATATATTTGTATAAATAAAAAATGTGGCACAAGTCCAACATTGTGTGGCACCTTGCATTATTAGAAATATTCATAGAAATATGATTTAATTTTTTTTTTACTCGGTTTATTAAACAGGTTGATTTTTTTTAAAACGGAAAATAATTGAGTTGAAAATAATTCACTAAAGTTGTACTTAGACGATCCTAAGGGAAGAAAGAAGAAGGAAGAGGAAAGAAAAGAGGAAGAAAGGAAAAAAAAAGGAAAGAGAGATGGATGATGCATGACCCGGTCATAAACGAAGATAGGTGTCAGAAAGATATCTTGGCCTGCGTGTTGGCCGAATTTTAAAAGACAATAGAGAATTGTTATTTGAAATGAAAAAATCATTTAGAGGGAAAAGAGAACCAGGCTTGATGACAGTGTATTGGGATTGATAAGAATATCGGTCAAAGCACCTAGCCTACTTTTGCGTGGAAAGACTCATTGTCAAATTGGAGAAAGGGAATTTCTTTTTAGAACAATAGAAACGAAATTTTTTTAATCGGAGAAAAAGTGTCTTTTGGGTTGAGGGGAGGACCGGTGGAACTGTATACAGATTCTGACCTATTAAAATTGGAAACCCACGATAATAAAGTGGGGACATTTTCAATGTAGATAATTAAGATTTTCTGACTGTCGGGTCTGACAAAAAACAAGAGGTGAAAAAACGATTGTCTCAGTTCACAGATGGCGCCAATATTCTTTCCTGAAGTCACATCTAATTAGCGGCAGGCTGTTTGACAGAGCCCAGGAGAAAAAAGCAAGATTGTCATTTTCGTACGTGCAAAAGGGCAAAATTGGATTTTGTTTTTTAAAACAAGAACGATGTAAACCACGCCCGAAAAGAGGAGAAAGGATGCTCGATCAATAACAATTGGTCGGAAACGGTCACGTGGCATACGGGAAAGGGGAGGAGAAATGCTCGATCAGGAATCATTGGTCGAGAGCGGTCACCTGACATACGAGGGACCGGGAAAGATGGGTGTGCGCCTCCCCACAAAGGCACTGTGAGGAAGTAGGGATGAAAACAATAGCGATAATGGGAAGACAGAAATAATGCGGCTATTGGAATTATCGAGAAACCCTGACGCCGACAAACCCACCCCGTTTTGTTGCGGCGTCAATAAAAGCAGGACCCCAGTCGACAGAAATCAGTTGCAGCTGGACCGCGGGCAGGGATAGAGCCTGAACGCGGGCATCAGGGCCCGATTCACTCGCCCCTTTGCGGGCAAGAGAATCCTCAGACAAGAAATCCTTCCAGCCCAAATCGAAGAAGAAGAAGATTGCTCGCAAGCCTCAGAGAAGTTGCAGCCAAGTCGAAGAAGAAGAAGATTGCTCGAAAGCCGCAGAGAAGTTACAGCCAAGTCGAAGATAAGAAGAAGAGCTTCCCAGACAGGCCGAAGAATTGCAGGCAGACGAAGAAGAATTGAAGGCCAGACAGGCAGCAAGAGTTGTGGCCGCAGAGAAGTTCAGCCCCGGACGGCAGCGAGAAGAGATCACCTCGGACGACAGAGAGAACAAGAAATCCTTCCACCCAAGTCGAAACAAGAAATCCTTCCACCCAAGTCGAAACAAGAAATCCTTCCACCCAAGTCGAAGACAAGAGAACTTCCAGCCCAAGTGGACAAAGAAGAAGATTACTCGAAAGCCAAGAGAAGATCCAGCCAAGTCGAAGACAAGAGAAGTTCTATCTAAGTCGACGAAGAAGAAGAAATACAACTCAAGTCGAAGAGAAGAATCAACTGCGAATGATCGATAGAAATTAGCCCCAGTGTCGAACTAAACCACACTCCGACACACACAATTCTAAAGAGTAGGCAATTCGAAATCTTTAGGTTGTGTGATAGAAGCTTGGTGCCATAGTCCAGAGCGGGTCGGGAAATGAGAACAATTTTGTTTTTTATGTAACGGACATTAGATATAAAAGGTTGTTACCCTTTTTTTTTTTTATCAGTAATCTTTTTTTTTTGTCTCGTGAGTTTTTTTTTTTTTTTTTACTTGTGTTTTGCCACCACCGTCGGACTCAACTTGTATCGGCCCCAATCCCTGCTGGTCCCGTCTGTCTAAGATCTAAACACAGCGTGGGTAGACAGACCGGAGATCAGTACAGTTGCTTCAGTAACCAGGTATTGGAAGCGAGTTGGAAAAAGGCGAGGCTGGTGATCATCCAACCAAGGGGTTGGAGCGGCACGCTTGGAACCAGGAGGAGCGACCAGGAGGAGCGACGTCAGGAAACGCACAGTTGCGCCGTAACCAAAAGATTCGACCCTGGGCCAGGTGTGTAACCGTCACATGTGGTGCCGTGACCAACGGATCAACTCTGAGACAACCACGTCACATGGTGAATGTGGGAAAAGACGGTCTTCTTCTGTCTTAACTTTAAACTTAGCTAGCCACAAACACTGACCCAAACATACCACAGTATCCCTAACACGAAAGCAACGCATTCTTATTACCTTTCTTACTGCATTCACCATAATACCACATTGTCTCTAGGAAAGTCCTAACTAAACCCCATATGTACAATTTATTTTCTGTAGGGAAGGGGAATGAAACAACAAATTGCCCCAATGACTATTTACAAAGATGTACGAAACTATTTACAAAAACTAAACAAAATAATGTTAGTAATAAAAAAAAAACAATGTCCCTAAATGTGTCAGAAATATCGGTTAACTGGATGAAATCAATGCGGGACTTTAATATCAAACATTCATTCATCCCAAGCACTCACTTGATCAATACTCGGTCAAAATATATATATATATATATATATATATATATATATATATATATATATATATATATATATATATTATATTCCTTTACTCGTCACGTGATCTAATTATTCCAAGATGAGGTCGACTGCGCATGGTGTTTGGCGATTCGTGTTCAAACACATTTGTCGGCAGGCACACTTTATTCCTATATTAAACTTAACATCAATATGAACACGGTCACAACTTACTGGCTGTATACGAGAGAGAAGAAAAAAATATGTTCATTTTCTGCAACTTTTAGTCTGTCCTAAATTATACACAATTTATTAAAATAGTATAAGTGATTGCTATATATATATATATATATATATATATATATATATATATATATATATCACAAGTTATGTCTCACAACACCAAACGTTGTTTTGTGGATCACCATGCTTTGTGTAGACACTGTAAATGATTTCACCGGTAGGGATCGAAATCGCGTCCCCCGTTGAGGGGAAATGACCGATTGATTGGTTCGAGCCCTGGCGGAGAAAAACTTTTTTATTATATCTCCCAAATATATATATATATATTTTTTAAGCATTACGCCCTTGAGCAAGGCGTGAAGCCACTAGGATGCAGGGGGTTGCGGAAGATTTGGAGCAAGAGCAGATAGGAGTGATAGAAGAAAGGATGAGGAGAAGGATAGTGGCTAGATCAAGGTAACTGGAGATGTCGATTGACATTACATTTGAATAGTTGGAGATTAGAGCTCTCAGGGAAACAGGAGTAGGGAAAAGAGTTCCACAGGCGAGAGGTGCGAGATATGAAGCTATTGGGGTAGAAGAGACGACTACATTTAAAAGTTTCTACAGTGTAAGGGATGCCAGCCTCGTAGGGCGCTTGAATTCATGGAGTCTGGGAATCAGTGAAAGCAGCTCATCGGAACAATTACCATGAAAGTATTTGTAGAAAAGACAGAGAGAGGCGACGGCGTGTCTGTGAGAGAGTGACTGTAGACGAAACGCATAGGTTTTAATACCAGAAATAATTTATAATAAAAGAAAATATTATTAGCACTAATTTTTGAAGGAAAAATTATTATCAGCAATACTTTAAAAAAATACCAGTAATACAAACAGCTATACAATTTCGAGAAGTTGGATTGTATTCAAAAATATGAGTAAGTGAAAAATGGTTCAAATATATATGTATACATACACACCCTTTTCCAAACTATCGCTATGATCTATTTAAAAAAAAATGTTGGCATTAAATGACCCACTGAGGTTTTGATATGCCATAAAACAAAGCAACTAACCAACCAATCTCTCTATGTATGAAGACCAGATATGGAAAAAGTATTCAATGCAGGTGCGAATGGTAGCTTTGTAAATGTGTAAGATGGATGCTGAAGGGAGGAAATTTTGTAACACGACACAGTCACACTACTTTCCTTGCAGTAGATACATCTATTGTTTCCGTGTAGTCGCTCGACTTCAACTCAATTGAAAACGAGAAGATTGTGGAGGACCATGAACGCATAGTAGAATAATCATCATCTTCATCTCCCTTTCTTCCAATCTGGTGCTGGTTATTTATTTATTTTGATTTTGTTACTTGCGAAAGAATCTGTAACAGTCTGCCATTAATTACGTACGCTCTAATTAAAACCTGTCAAACATATTTTTCTTTATTTTCTTTTATTGCATGAAAGCTTTTAGCTTCGTAATTTTCTTCTTAAGCAATCAATGCCATCGCCGCTCTGTGATTGAATGAAATGATGTTTGCGACAGAGTTCGTCGCCATCGCGATGATAACTTTTTGGTACAGACAATGTTTTCTTTTTCTTTCTTTTTTAATGGTAAGATAAAAGTATAGTCCTATAATGTTTTTGTTTGCATGTTTTGTTTCCGTTGATTTTTTTTTTTCCGGGGTGGGATTACTATCGCTCTCATCGAATCATATACCAGCATCACCAAATAAACATTTATAACTATTTAAGTAGACTCCAATGGCTTAAATTGTTTTATAAATTATTAATCGACACAGATGTGAATTAAACGCTTCTAACAAAATAAATGTTTTACGACAAACGCGATTTTAAAGCCAATATCCATCGATTCAGGAAGATCAAAAATTATTATAAAGTGAAAAAAATGAATTCTTAATTGTTTGTTAGCATTTCCGTTGGGAACTTCAGAAGCCGTGTCCCGGAATGAAGTGTAGGTTTGGCTCTCCACGACTTCCTATCCTTTGTAGCTCATGGAAATCTTTTTTTCCTCTCACGTTCCCTCCCAGCTTGTTTTGCCATCCAGTAGGAGTATTAAATGTCTTAAATCAATTTTATTATGATGATGATCTTTGTGACGTGTCCCATCAGGACATGGACGATCATGGCGCTCCACAGCTTCCTGTCCTTTGTAGACTTTAGTAAAATTTTTCTTTTTGCTATATCGCCTAAATGTCAAACATTGCACAAGCTCGTTTGGCAAGTTACTGTATGTTTTCCTCTGATCCTCTAACCTTCAATATGCTCTGTGGGTGTTAAATTCACCAAAACCTCTTTTCTCGTTGCGTGTCAGAGATAATTTAAAAGTCACCTATGTTGAAAGCTACCTTAATTATTTTTAGTGGTTTCTTTCGCATAATAATATATTTACGTTTGCGGTCCCTCTTCTATATGCCATGTACCTTAAGCATGTGAAAGATCATGGCTCTCCACAACTTCCTTTATTTTTTTAGACATGAGTAAAGTGTCTTTTTGCTATATCTCCTAATCCCTGTTTTGCCAACGATTTACAGAAGTAAATAAAAATGATAAAATAAACAGGAACACATGTGGCGGAAGTTGATTATCTCGCTCAGACATGTAGTCACGTGACTAGGGTCACTTGGTAGTGAGGAAGAAAAAGAGGGGCGCTTTCAAGAAGGTCCCACTTTTTTTTTCATTTTTCTGTTCCTTGAACAACATCTGCCAAACGTGTAAGTAAATTTGCCGCAATCGTCAAGCACTTACATACACACGCACACATGCACTCACTCACCCATTCACACACACACACACACACACACATGCACTCAATCACCCATTCACACACACACACACAGACATGTAGAGACACTCAAATACACACACACGCGCGCATACATTATCCTTCACACACACGCACGCACACACTTACTCAGACTAGCACACAAACACGCACACACACACACACACACACTTAATCACACGCACACTTACTCACACGCATACTCTATCTCTCTCACGCACACACACATACACTAATACAGACACGCTATCTCTCAAACTCACTCACATACACACACACTCTCTATCACACACACTCACACACATACGCAGTCATGCATTCTCTCACACACACACACACTCACATAAACGCATACACACTCACACTATTGCAAACACACTTACATACACTCACACATTTACATACACTCACACACACTCACGCTCTCTATCACACACAGACGCGGTCTTACACTTACGCATATACACTCACACTTTCATACTCGCACACATTCACATGCATGCACACATACACTCGCAGACACACACTCTCTCAAAGACACTACCTCACACACTCCAGCGCGCGAGCACACACACACACATGTCTATTTGTCGTTAATATTTGAAATTCTAGGTTGATGTTGCTTTTAGTGAGCGAGATGTTGTTTGGTTTGTTTTGTTTTATAATATATCAATCTCAATGGGTTATTTAATGCCGACAACAATTTTAATGCTGGTAATATTTTTTTTAATGTATTTTTTAATGTATTGCTTGTAATAATGTATTCCTGGTATTTTTTTTTTTTCAAAAATTATTGCTGGTAATAATTTTTCCAAAAAATAAGTATTTCTAGTATCAAAACCTATTTTTACACTTTCATAGTGTTTTGACCCCAATTTGGGGGTTAACTATTTGCCCATAGCTTGGACCCTAACAGGTGCTACCCCTCCGCTTCAGGGTGGATGGACCTGGGAACATCAACAATTACGAGGTGGCCCCCGCTCCTTAAAATCTCCTGATTAGAAGCCTTGCTGTTGGACGTAGTTTATCGTACTAGATGAAGTAACCGAAATATATATCTTGTGAGTATCAAGCAAGAAAGCCGTCCTCATAGGTCGTACAAATTTTCACAGTCACTTCCAGTTCCTATGCAAAATTGTCTTTTTCATTCCCATTTTATTTAAACTTTCCACGAGGCACACATATTCCGACCATGTGATTCTCAGCATCCTTCTGTAGAACGACGTATAAGTTCGATGAAGTTTCCTCTTCCTCCTTGAGTAATTTATTCAGTCTCCACTGATATAGGGTAGACTGATATTACGTAAGAGCTGAACGCTATCATCTTTGTTTCTAACGAATTTCTGCAGTTTCTTAATACATTGCTTAGCTTTTAGAAATCGTCTTTTGCTGTTCATCAGTTTTCGCTATCACATTTATCGCCGTCTTTTAAACTTTCCATATATTAAAATGTTTGTACTTAATTGAGTTTGCCATTTTTAATATGGCGTTTGCATCTTGAGCTGTTCCTGTTGCTAACGACCATACATTGTTTCCACTATTTACATTATTCGGAGCTGTTGCCGTCATATTTATTGCCATATCGATGTCGCTAACGAGTCTGACCAACTTCAGTCACTTTCTCAACGACGTGACACGGCTTCCCTCTGTCTTTTCTACATATATTTTCAGCCAACTGCTTTGACAAGCTTTTTACCCTGGTGTTCCGACGATATGTATTTAGGCATGCTACTAAGATTGGCACGTAGGTCCCACACTTTTACTGTTGAAATAGCCAAATGCAACCGCCACTTCTAATGCAACAATTTATTTTCTCGCACTTTCTACCTGTGGGACTCACTTCCATATGCTTGCTTCGCCGATAGCTAAAATCTTCACAAATTTAAATGTAACGTCAATCGCCATTTTCTGTTCTACTTGAATACCGTTCATCTTTTGTCCTTTCTTCAATCATCAAAATACACAGTTTTCTCTCATTCAATACCCGCAACTCCCTGGGTACTCGTGGCATTCCAACCTTGCTTGTTGTGAAACGATTGAAAAACAATGTGATCATCTTTTTCCTAACGAACCTCTGCTGTTTTTTTTTAATACATTGCTTAGCTTTTAGAAATTGTCTTTTGCTGTACTTCAGTATCACATTTATCATTGCCTTTTAAACAACTTCCCATATATTTAAATGTTTGTACTTCCTTGATTTTGCCATTTTCAATCCGGGGCTGTTCCTGCTGCTAACCCCCATGCAAATTTTACATAATTTACATTATTCGGACTGTTGTCCTCATCTTTATTGTTATATCACATTGTAGGCCGTTGTGCGCTTCGGCCTTCTTCAGGTGATATACGTTGGAATTTCGAAGCGAACCCTATCTTTCATCCACTGCTGTAGAACTTGAACTATCTACACCAGTAGATGAATTAAAGAGCTCGGTTCGAATTTCCAATGTATATCACCTGAAGAAGATCGGAGCGCACAACGGCTGAAACGTCGTCAATATCACAATAAAGATGAGGACAACAGTTCGAACAATGTATATAATTACACTACCTCCTCTCATAAATATATGCAGAAATCTTATATTGTCTTCTTATAATTAAACGTTAGACCTTCTCTTCTTCCTTACACGCCACGCCTTCCTCAGAATGTAGGCGATCATAGCTCTACACAATATCCTGTCATATATATATATATATATATATATATATATATATATATATATATATATATATATATATGAAAAAGGGAAGAGGTTATAGTAGTTCCAACGAGAGAAAAGTGTATAATAAAAAGAAGAGGGGAAACCGCAAACAATTTTGGCTGTAATGTGGATTTTTTTAAATATATAGTATGCGTTATTTCGCATAATTTTTCTACACGTGTTTCCTGTTTTGCGATCTTCATCAGGCATTCCTCGAACAAATTAACTTTCCACTTAAGGCGAATAGCGATCGCGAATGTTGCTTTCCAAAAGTAAAGCAGAGTATGTAGAAATAGAAAAGTTTCGTTCGAAACACATGTGGTTTGGTTTGGTCTGTTTTACGGCATATCGACCTCAATGGGTTATTTAATGCCGACAAGATTTTTGTTGCTGGTAATTCTTTCTTTCATAAATGTATTGCTGCAGATATTTTTTTCCAAAAATATATTGCTAGTAATATTTTTATATACCCTGAAGTCTACCTTGATCGACGGACACCTGAAAACAAATTTGTGATAATGGCAAAAATGAAGACATTAGTCCGACTGTAAATAACATCAACACAGACACACAGCTTTTCCTCTAATAGATGGAAATTTATTTCTTGGTAAAACTATGGAAACGAAATGTTAGTCTTCTCGAATATCGTTCGTACATTGGTATTTCAATTGGATCCGTTATGGTCAATGTACTAATGAACATTATATTAAGTAGAGTCTTACTATTTAATGAAAACCAACAACTGACAAAGCAGTTTGGTTATCTATCTATCTATCTAAAATATTGGTTTGGTTAATCTTTCTATTTTTTATATCTATCTATCTATCTATCTATCTATCTATCTATCTATCTATCTCAGTATATATTGGTTTGGTTTGTTTGTTTTATGACATATCAATCTCAATGGATTATTTAATGCCGGCAAGATTTTTGTTGCTGGTAATATCTATCTATCTATCTATCTATCTATCTATCTATCTATCTATCTCAGTATATATATTGTTTTGGTTTGGTTTGTTTTATGGCATATCAACCTCAATGGGTTATTTAATGCCGATAAGATTTTTCTTGCTACTAATTATTTTTTCAAAATATATATTTCTGCTAATATCTTTTGCAAAAATGTATTGACGGCAATATTTTTCCCTCTAAAATTCATTGCTGGTAATATTTTTACAAAAATGTATTGCTGGCATTAAAACGTATTTTTTTACCCTTTCATAGGATGTAGTTAAAATGTATAAAAAAATTATATAGAATCAGAAACAGGCAGTTAAAATGTTTGGGTTAATTAATGAAGAAAGAATGATTAGAGAATTTGACACTCACAGTCTATACTGAAGGCAAGATGGACAAAGGGAAACAGCGAGTTGCTTACTTAACAAGATAGTTTAAATGGAAGCCAGATGCATCTAGAAGGAACAATCAGTCTCAACCTCAATGGGTTATTTAATGCCAGCAAGATGTTTGTTGCTGGTAATATTTTTATCTATCTATCTATCTATCTATCTATCTATCTATCTATCTATCTATCTATCTCATATATTGGTTTGGTTTTGTTTTGCTATCTATCTATCTATCTATCTATCTATCTATCTATCTATCTATCTCAGTATATATTGGTTTGGTTTGTTTTGTTTTATGGAATATCAACCTCAATGGGTTATTTAATGCCGGCACGATTTTATTTGCTGGTAATATTTTTATCTATCTATCTATCTATCTATCTATCTATCTATCTATCTATCTATCTATCTATCTCAATATATAGTTACGGCATATCAACCTCAATGGGTTATTTAATGTCGACAAGATTTTTATTGCTACTATTTCTATTTTCAAAAATGTATTTCTGCTAATATTTTTTTCAAAATTTTATTGATGTAGAGAATTACATCCGGAAGAGTCACGGAATAGAAACGAATAATGTTAAAAATTCTCTGGTCAATTTTTGTTTCTTTTTCGAAACCAAACTCACACACGGGCATATACGAAATCGCCAGTATCGGGGCAAGCAGCGAATATGCAACATGTGAAAGATAAAAATAAGAAAAAGATAAATATATATTTGCAGAGACTTGATAAATCATCATGAGGAGAGACTGTTTGGGGAATTTGACACTCACAGTGTATATTGAAGGCAAGAGTTTCGGAGAAAGACATCGAATTACTTACCTAACAAGCTTCTGTAAATGGATGGTAGATCGAGCTATGAAGGTCAAGGAGAGTCATAATCGCCCACGATCGGAAGGAATCCGGAATATAAACGACAGCGAAAAAAAATTCTGCTTAATGGCTTCTTTTTTAAACTCGACTTATACATGAGTATGCACGACATCGGCAGTACCGAAAATGCCAATTGCACCATACGAGAAAAGAAAGAAAGAAAAATAAAAAGAAATAACAAATCAGAGAATGAGAAAAGAAGAAAAAAAAATCAAAAGATATATATTGATAAGTTCCAATGGCGAATTAAAGCCTCACAGGATATATTGAATGCAAGAGCGACGGATAGAAATAATTAAATTAACAAACCTATGTAAATGGACAGTAGATCAGGATGTGGAAAGTATATTAAGAGAGCAAATAGGGTGCGAGCGCAAAGAAGAGAAAGTTGTGAAGGGTCATGATAGCCCGCATCTTTTAAGGGACACGGTATCTCTATCTATAAAAAGTAGGATGTGTGTGTGTGTTTGTGTAACGAATGCACGGCCGCAATATTCGACGGATTTGCACCAAAATTTACATGCACATGCTCCAAGTTAGCGAGAAAGCCAAGACCGACTTTGCATTTCCCAACTCCCATCGATAGTCGAAATAATCGATTTTTCATGCGTCTACGGCAGTTTTCATGTAGTTTGCGGCCATTTTCTACTGGCCAGAGTGAGTGCCTATAGCTAGCTGCCACGAATAGGCAGGAAGATTCTATTGGCCAGCGTGAGAACCAACAGCTGACCGACACGAATGTTAACTAGAATGCTAGCATGCAAAAAAAAAATAGCTGCATTCATCACAAGTGGGAAAAATTTAAATCTGCATGGCACTTTACTCCAATTGGCTCATTCGCTTGCTCAACGTTGATTCTGATTCCGCAGAACTGGGTTGGGCGTGAAAAAGTATTTGTTGTTAACATTCTTTTTTCATTCGGTTTTTCCACTTACGAGTCCTTTTTTAAAGCTGATCGTTTTGTGTTCATTTTGTTTAATTCTTTTTTCGTAACAGATTTAATGTTTAGTAGAGAGTTTAGAAAAAATTCGCAGTGTGACATAAGCAAGAAGTAAGGCATATAGCAACATTAGCCCGGCAAAGAGCACTTCTTTAAAGGCAAGAAGGGCAAAAATATTTTAAGTCAAGTGATAGCGATTGCTGTATGAGTCGTACGATTTTTGAATCAAGCACGGGCAACGCCGAGCCATGCTGCTAGTATAAAATTAAGGAGGATTATGTTTTGTTCATTTTATTTATTTATTTTTTCTTTGGTGTTGGTTTTTTTGCTTTGTTTTGGATTTGTTTGTTTTTTTCGAATGTCGACTTATACACGAGTAGATTCAACATAGACACTGCAGCGAGAAGTGACAAATATGCTAAATGCATCATAATAGAAAAGAAAAAAAAAGAACGAAAGAAATAGAAAAGAAAAAAAAATATCGAAAAATATATTTACAATGACTTTTCCTAAATCATAAGAGGAAGATTTGGTTAATTTTTTTTTTCTTTCGACTCCAAGTCACGTTTCATTTTGTGGCACTGAGTTCTTTCCAGTCAGTTGAATAGTAACGTTACTTAGAGCACGAAAGATTGTTACAACGCGTGATATTTTGCGCTGCTTTTTTTATAATTGGCAAAGATTGTTCGTTAGGATATTTTGGTAAAAAGTAATGACCCCTAAACTCAAAACTCCAATATTTATAACCTACAACGACTTATTTTTAAATAATAAAAAAATATCTTATATTTTAAAAAGACTCCTGAAATAGGCTAATATTGTCTTACGTCCAAAATTGCCAAGAGTTCGTTTGGTTTATTAAATAAAAACTGCGTAAATTAAAATGACAACATCCTCATAAAGAAAGCCGATTTTACGGATTTTGACCAGGGTACAAATTATATACAGTAGCGAGCATAAAGATCAGAACAATGTTAAGAAAAAGTCTAAATGTCAAATAACTTTTTTTTTTTATTTTAAAGCTTCATAGAACAATTTTTCAAGGAAAAATAAGGATATAAAGGTAAATTATTTAATTCCAAAATATAAAGCTCAATAAACTTATTTTGATAAAGTTATAAGAATAATTATATAACACTCGAAGAAAATAGATGAATGTAAGAATAAAGAAAAAAGTGTGCAAGACAATAAAAAACACTACCTGCCAAAAAAAAGTGAAGTTTTGTTGAAATCGGTTGAAAAATGTAGGAAATCCGATCCTATATATAAACGAACACACAGACACACACACGCAAACAACCTGGGTTTTATAATAAGTATAACTCAATATGAAATGTCCCCCTTCCATTCTCGCGACAGCGATGGCTTGTAATCGTGTTTTCAAATTGATTTCGTGCAAAAACAATTGTGTTTTTTTACAATTTTTGGTGCTGTCATAACCACCGCAAGGTAATTTTACGTAGTCCTGTGAAGTTTTGTTGAAATCGGTTGAAAAATGTAGGAAACCCGATCCAATATATAAACGAACACACACACACACTCAACCTGGGTTTTATAATAAGTATGATTACACTATATTTATAAACATCCCCATTTTAATATATCCCCAACTCTCTTTCTATTAATCCATTACACCCTTTTATCTATATATTTTAAATTTATTCTTAGACCCTTTTAATTCCTATTTTAAATTAATATTTCATTCTTTATATAACCCCTTGTTGGGGCTACCCACCTTCTGAGGAGAATGGATTGATCTCTCTACGATATACTACAGTGCTAGAGAGTTCTGGGGAGATCGGGAGATCTAAGAGATCAGGTGACCATCTCACTTCCGTCTCTCGACCGGAAGATACCGTTGGACTGTAGACTCTTGCTGATTGTTATTACTAACCTGCGTTTGTTATTACTAATCACTCTGTCGTTAAATACCTCTTCAAATATACCAGTATTTTCCCCTACATATGTGTTTGTCCTTATTTGAATACACGCATGCTTTAAAAATTCCATTTACAAGACAATTGTTCATAATAAAATTCTATTCAATCATTAGACTCATAACGATTGCAAACAGTGTTTTTGTTTGAGTTTGGGTTTCACCAATTCGTAAAAAAAAACAAAAAAAACAAACAAAAAAACAAGCCCCAAAAAACTAATTAAGACATGCGTGTCCGTCAACCTTAAACAATAATCTTTGTCAATTTTATTTTTTAGTCTTTATGATGGTCGATACTTGATCTATCTCTTACTTACGCCGGACTCTAGTGCTAGTTAGATTATAATGTGGAGAAATAAAATATAGAAATTGGAACTAGCTATACTGTCGGCATTTCAAGAGTAAGAAGGAGAGGGAATATTATGTATATATAGTAGCTAATTAAATTAAACGTATATTATGGAAATTTGAATTTGTTTTTATGTCGGCAATTTAGAACTAACTCAAGAATGAATTAATGTTAAAAACAAAAGATAAAAAATAAAAAATTACCTTCGTCTTACTGAAATATCAAAATGGATAAACTCTGTATCAGTTTTTCGACAGCTTCATTTTTTGGCTTTCACAGTAAAGTTCTGCTTCATGTCACCCAAACTCTATGGACATGAACTCAGTCCATATCAGAGTTGATAAGACAGACAACTGATATCTTCGTCTGTCGAAATAGGCTATTCCCCGTATGAGGTGATTTAGGATTTTATTGGTTATTAATTATATCGCTCTGTAATAATAAATACATTGAGCTCTTTTTGTGGATCAGTTTTAATATTTTATATTACTCGGATCCACTTGGATGTTATAGCAACGGATTTGTTACCTTTACTAATATACACACACACACGCATATACATCTCTCTCTCTCTCTCTTATATATATATATATATATATATATATATATATATATATATATATATATATATATATATATATATATATTTTCACTTATAAAATATGATTTTATCATGTATCCCGTGTATCATGCCAGTCCCTTTTCGAGGGACCAAATTACAATATACTAAACTCTTTTCTTCCATCTCTTTATCTCATCTTCTAGTTAAATAAGTTAAAAATTTGAAAGAGAATGATAAATAACGTTATTAACGCTATACTAGTTGCGTAAACACGTACAGCCATAAACAACCGAACGAGAAGCAACAAAACATCTTATAAACGTAAACAATAGAAAAGATGCATATTCGCTTTGTTTTTATTATAAAATACGATACTAATATGTGAATATTACCTGTCATTATTGTTGGATACAGTTAACTAAAACATCGTTTTTATCAAAATCGTGTTTATTTTAAATACAGCTCTACATTTTGACTACAGCAGATGGATATATAGTTTGATCAACGGCGTAGCCAGGGCCAGTAAGTACAAACAGTAATTTTATATCTCGTGTATGATACGACCCCCTTAAAATAGCTTCAAAATTAAGTCTTTTAAACATCTATCGTTAAGTATGACGGACAATTAAAATTTAATTAATTTTTATTGATTTTTTTTTCCAGCGTTCTTACGTTTTTTTCTGTTTGGTGGGAGTAAGAGAATGCAAAAAATTTCTATAATTTTCATTGTCCCAAGGGCTTTCGGTCACTTCTTAAGCCATTTTTATATGGGTGTTTCTGGTGTTGTTAGGTTTTACTCATATTTTGACAGTCTAATTTATATTTTATTTTTCTGTTGTTTTGAATAAGAGAGTTTATTTAGAACATCGCGTGTTGAGCTCCGATGGAAATCGAGCGAACGTATTTCTATTTTTAAAAACCACTTAAAACACCATTGCCACTGTTAAATAAGGTGAGGTTGACATTAGGAGAGAGATGTTTAATATGTAGGTCCTCTTTTATAGCAAGATGTTTCCGGTAATC